AGTTAAGCAAGCAAGGGAATGAGTGACATAGTCTAAAAAGAAATATACTCTTGACTTACATAATGGTAACCCCTCTGTACATCATCTCTATAATAACAATTTTTTTAAAATTAAGTTAAGTGATTATCCTAATAAAACAGTCAATGGAATGGAAGGGAGGAAGGGAGGGAGGAAGGGAGAAGAGGAGGGAGGGGGGAAGGAGAAAGAGGAGGGAGGGAGGAAGGGAAAGAAAGAAGGAAAGGAAGGAAGGAAGGAAGGAAAGAAGGAAAAAGGAAGAAAGAACAAAAGAACAATCAAATACTACTAACTGTATACTTAGCAAAATGGTACTTTTTAATTTTAGAGCAAACCACATATAGAGCATGGCATAGGTTCACATCTATTCCTAGCTACTCAGGAGGCTGAGATCTGAGGATCAAAGTTCAAAGCCACTTTAGGCAGAAAAACCCATGACACTCTCTATCTCCAATTAACCAGCAAAACAGCCAGAGCGACTCTTGTAGATCTCTCTCCTATTTATTGTGCCCCTGGGACTCTATTCAAGATGTTTCTGTCTATACCTATAAATTTTAATGTTTCTCCTATTCTCTCTTGCAATAGTAGCTTTAGCCTTAAGGAAAAGAATAAAGAAAAAAAACTCAGGGCCAGTGCTAGTCCCAAGCAAAAAAGCCAAAGAGGGCAAGACCCTGAATTCAAGCCCAGTACTAGGACAAAAGAAAGAGACAGAGGTTGGGGGCGGGGTGCCTAGGGGAATGGAGAACTACATTTGAATACTACTAGTGACTTTAACTTTGGAAAAATTACTTAACAACATCTAGTAAAGCAGAACTTTATTAGATACCCAATGAGCCAGCAGTTCTACTCCTAGGTATATGCCAATATGCAGGAGGTTGAGGCAAGATGATCACGAATTTGAGGCCAGTATATACTACAGATAAGTTCTTGTCTCAGAAATAAAAATAAAAGTACATAGGGTCAGCACCCAGGTCCAGAGTTCAAGCCCCACAACAGACAAAAAAAAAAAAGTAGGTATGGTGATACAGACCTATAACTCCAGCATTCAGAAGGCTGAAGTAAGAAGATGAATTCTAGACCAGCCCAGGCCATATAACTAGTCTCTTTTTCAAAAAAAAAAAAAAGTCAATATAGAGGCTTATGCCTCTAATCCTAGCTACTAAGAAGGCACAGATGAGGTTAGGGTGGACAGAGTTTGGGGAAAGCAAGACTCTATCTCAAGAAATAATCCAGATATGATAGTGTACACCTATGGGGGAAGCACAGATAAGAAGATCAAAGTCTAAGCTGGCCTCTAGGGAAAAGTATAAAACACTATCCAAAAATGACCGAAGCAAAATAAGGACTGGAGGTATGACTCAAGTGACAGGAATACTTGACTAGCAATCTGAGGATTTGAGTTCAAACCTCAAAAAAAGGTAGTAATAATAGTTACCATGTAGAATACTAATTGTATCATTTTTTTAAATCCTGTATTTTAAGTTTTTGCTGCAAATACCATTTGTGGAGATGAAGGAAGAGAATTTTTTAGAATTCTACTGTGTATAAAATATAACTGCTTGAAAAGACCAACATAGTCAAATTATGTTAAAGAGTTTTTATAAATAGAAATTACAGATTCCTCAATACTGTGAAAATAGCCATGCAATCCCCATCAAAATTCCAGTGACATTCTTTACTGGAAAAAGAGAAAACAATCCAAAAATTCATATGGAACAACAAAAGACTTAGAATAGACAAAGCAATTCTAGGCACAAAAAACAATGCAGGTGGTATCATACTACCAGATTTCAAACTCCACTACAGAGCCATAATAACAAAAACAGCTTGGTATTGGCACAAAAATAGGTCCAAAGATGAACAGAACAGATTAGAAGACCCAGAAATAAAACAATATACTTTCAGTCAACTAATATTTGACAAAGAAGCCAAAGGCATGCAGTGAAAAAAAATAGCCACTTCAACAACTGGTGTTGGGAAAACTGGGTAGTCATATGCAGAAAACTAGTCACCATGCATTAATATCAATTCAAAGTGGATCAAAGACCTCAACATCAGACCCAAAACTCTGAAACTATTTCAAGAGAGAGTAAGAGAAACATTAAAACTTACAGGTATAGACAGAAACTTACTGAATAGAGTCCCAGGGGCATAACAGGAGAGAGATTCGACAAGTGGGACTACATAAAAATAAAAAGTTTCTGCACAGATAAGGATATAGTTACTAAACTAGAAAGACAGCCAACCAATTTATCACACAAAGGCCTAATATCCAATATATACAAGGAGCTCAAGAAACTAGCCCCTCCCAAACTTAATAAACCAATCACTAATTGGGCAAGGGAACTATGGATAGACTTCTCAGAAGAAGAGGTAAGAATGGCAAAGCAACACATAAGGAAATGCTCATCATCCCTTGGCATAAAGGAAATGCAAATCAAAACAACACTGAGATTCCATCTTACCCCAGTTAGATTGGCCTACATTTATTTGTTTGTTTCTTATTGTAGGGTAATGTACAGAGGGGTTACAGTTATGTAAGTAACATTTCTTTTTTATTAATAAGTTTATTATGAAAATACCATACAGAGGGGTTACAATTACATGAGCAAGGTAATAAGTACATTTCTTAACAAGCATTGTTGCCTCCTCCTGTGTTTTTCCCTTACCATCCCTGCCTTCCCATCTCCACAACTACACTCCACCCCCCACCAAATATGTACATTTCTTGTCCAACATTGTTACCCCCTCCCTTGTTTTCTCCCACTTTCTTGACCATTTTTAATTCAAACAACAAATGCTGTCGAGATATGGGGGGGAAGCCTACTGCACTGCTGGTAGGAATGTAAACTAGTACGACGACTCTGGAAAGCAGTCTGGAGGTTCTACAAAAAACTAAACTAGACTTTCCCTACAAGCCAGCCATATGGCATCTACCCTGAGCATCATGAGACAAGGATATGATAAGGACACCTGCACATCCATGTTCATTGGGCGCACTATTCACAATAGCCAGGATATGGAAACAGCTCAGATGTCCCACAATAGATTAAAAAAAATGTGGTATCTATATACAATGGAATTTTACACAGCCATTGGAAAGAATAAAATATTATCACTTGCAGGGAAATGGATGGAACTAGAACAAATCATATTAAGCAAGGTAAACCAAGCTCAGAGAAACAAACAGTACATGTTCTCTCTGATATGTAGAAATTAGATTGAAAATAATACTGGGATGTGATAAATTACACAGGATTCTAGATACTCACATACAGTGAGACCAAAAGATTCTCTCTTATGAGAGAATCACAAAAGCGCAATGCCTACGCGCCTCTTTATATTTATATGAAATAATATACATACTAAAATGAACTCCTATAATATGGAAACAAAAGACTTTTTTTCCTTTTTCTTTTTTAGTTTTTAGGTTTTTTCCTTTTTTTTCTGATGATTCTGTCTTCTTTACCTTATATTCAGCGTATTCACATGTATATCTTTGACAGGGTAGGTGGGAGGGCACACACCTTAAGAAAAAAGGGTAAAAAAGTGCACCAGTGGAGTTTTCACTGGACATTGACGAAAGTGAACTACACAACTCACAGGTGGAGATGAGGAGGGACTGGGAAAGAATGAGGGAACAGATGACACTGTATGAAAGGAAATATACTCATTACCTGACACGTAATGAAACCCCTCTGTACATTACCTCTATTATAACAATAAAGTAATTTTTTTAAGATTACAGATTCCTACACATCCACAAAATAATACAGTAACATAATTTTTTCTTGTGATATTTAGCTATCAGGACACAAATAAAGATCTAACTAAAATTAAAGAACTCTCTCTGCCATCTTGAAGCCTATGGAGGCCTGCTGGGAAAAGGACCAAAAGGCAGTATTTTTGCTGGTTCTAAGTGGGGTCTCCAGAACCAAAGAAGCACACCACTCTCCTTGAAATTGAAGGTGTTTATGCCCAAGGTGATAACTGACTTCTACTTGGGCAAGAGATGTGCTTAGGAATACAAAGCAAAAACAACACAGTGGCTCCTGGTGGCAAACAAAACAAAATCAGAGTAATCTGAGGAAAGGTAACTTGTGCTCATGGAAACAGTGCGATGGTTCATGCCAAATTTCTGTTAAGCCATTGGACACAGAATCCATGTGATGCTGTACCCCTCTTCCAGTATTTAAATAATGAAAATAAATTAAATTAATCTGTGTTGAAGGATGAGGACGACAACAAGGAGGAGGAAGAGGAGGAAAGAAGCAGCTGCTGCTTAAATTTCCCTAAAACAACTCTATACCATCACAAAAGATATCACTATCTACCAGGGCTGTGATGAGAAATAAGAACCTAACTAAATAAATATAAAAATCAACTTTTCTTAAAGTACAGAGGATGGGTTGGGGTATAGAAAGAAGAATGTACATTCTTGTTAAGGTGGGAGCCAATGGCTTATGCCTATAATCCTAGATACTAAAGAGGCTGAAATACAAGGACTGGGTCCAAAGCTAGCCCAACCCAACAAATCCCTGATGAGTCTCAAAAAAAAGCAGCAAAAAAACCTCAGAAAGTGGAGGCATGGCTCAAGTGGTAGAGTGCCAGATTTGAGTGGATAAAGCCAAGTGAGAACATAAGACCTAAATTCAACCCCAGTACCAGCAGCCTCTCCAAAAACAAGGTCTGTGTGTATATATGTATATATGTTTTGTGTATATATGTATTTACACATATACATATTTGTTAAATGTATTATCATTACTATCTATAAACTCTACATAAATAATGTCTTCCCACAGAAGAGTTATAATCTTTTTATAATAAGGAGCAACTTAGCACCTCACTTGAAGATTTAAATGCAGCAAAAGGAGACTCAGAGTTGGATACCCAGAAATGAGAAGAGAGGATATGGAGATGCTGACCTGAAGCCCATCAAAGTGAGGCATACCTTGCACAGAGACCTCCAACTCCAAGCTTACCTGTGCGTATTCTCTTTCAATTGCAGCCTTCTTCTGACTGAATGTCCTAAAAATACAAACAAAATTAATTACCAAAAAATACAATTTAATAGTTTCATGTAAATTTATCCACACACCTTTGAAAACTACTTGAGAGAAAGAATATGAAGATTTTATTTCTCTATGTATGCACTCGGGAATACTGCAGGGTCTCCACAGTTAGACAACCTATAGTTCAAAGCTAAGTTCTACCACTGCCAGTATAATCTTTTTTTTTTTTTTTTTGGGTCCGGTTGTGGGGCCTGAACTCTGGGCCTGGGCGCTGTCCCTCAGCTTTTCAGCTCAAGGCTAGCACTCTACCACCTGGGCCACAGCACCACTTCCGGCTTTTTTTTTCTGCTTACGTGGTGCTGAGGAATCAAACCCAGGGCCTCATGAGTGCAAGGCAAGCACTCTACCACTGAGCCACCTTCCCAGCCCATGCCAGTATAATCTTTGAAAAGCTATTTCATTCCTATGTGCTTCAGTGTCCCCCTTAGTAAAATGGAGATAATAATGCATCATAGGAATATTATAAAATTTAGTTATTTTAAATATATGAAGTGCTCCAAAGTATCTAGCACATAATAAACCCCCTATAATTGTAAACTACTCTGAGGATCATGGTTCAAAGCCGGCTCAGACAGGAAAGTCCACAAGATTTCCATCTCCAATTAACCAGCAAAACACCAGAAGTAGAGCTATAGCTCAAGTGGGAGAGCACCAGACTTGAGTGAAAAAGCTAAGGGACAGAGTCCAGGCCCTGAGTTCAAGCCCAGTACCAGCACAGAAACAAAAACAATGTGAAAAATCATTTCCTTTAATCCAGTTTTTACAAGTTATACTTTACAAACACATATTATTTCATCAATTTTGGGGTTCATACTTTTCAAACATTAACAATATTTACAGCTGGGCACCATGGCATATTCCTTTAGTCTCAATAACTGAAGAAGTTGAGGCAGGAAGATCACTTGAGCTCAGGCATTTGGGTCACCCTGTGCCAACACTAGAAAGACCCTATCTTTTAAATAAAAGAAGAAGTAGATAAAGGAGAAAAGGAGCACTAGAATAAGAAAAAGATAAGAAGTTAAAATTACCACCTGAAAATAACTTAAATTTACTAACGTGACTGTTGATTAAGAGTAGTACTTATTCAAGATCTTATTATATTTCTTTTGCATGAATAAATAATTTCTTAATATTTAAAAGAAAAAAATCTCACTTTAACCCTAAAGACTGATGTATATTTAATGGGATTTAAAATACCAATACTTAAAAAAATAAGACTCTAATAATTACACCTAGTGCATTCAAGGGTTAAGTAAGAGGGTGCCAGGCACAGTGGCTCAAACCTATAATCCACGCTGCTTAGGAGGCATAGATGTGGATGATCACAGTTCAAAGCCAGTCCAGGCAAAAACCTCATGAGAATCCATCTCAACCAATGACTGGCATGATGGTATGCCTGTCAACCCACTGCTGGGTACAGTAATACACATCTGTCATGCAAGTTAAGCAAGGAAGCACAAACTGGAGGATTACAAATTAGTCTAGACATAAAAAGAGATCCTATCTTAAAAACAACCAAGTCTGGCACTGGTGGTCAGGCCTATAAAAATCCTAGCTGTTCAGGAGTAGGCTGAGATCTGTTTATGGATAGTTCAAACCCAGTTGGGACAGTAAATTCCATGAGATTCTTTTGTCCACTTAACTGCCAAACAGCCAGAAGTGGAGCTGTGGCTCAAGTGATAGAATGCTAGCCTTATGCACAAAAACTCAGAGACAACACCCAGGCCCTAAATTCAAGCCCCAGGAATGGTACCAATGATAATGATGATGATGATGATGATAATGGTGCAGCAAAAAAGGGCTGCCACAGTAGCTCAAGTGGTTGAGCATCTTCCTAGCAAGCAGAAAGTGAGTAAAAACTCAAGGGATAACCAGGAATCTGTTGCCAACTTCTAGATCACAATGGCACAGATAAAATCTGTCTACATAACCAATTTGGAACCCTAAAGTCAACTGAAGGCATGCAACTTTAAGTTTGGATGATAAATTGTAATTAATTTCATCCAATTTCAACCCTTATCATAGTAAGAGCCAGCACTCTCCAACTCTAACCTTTGGCAAACACCCATAGATGTGTTCTTGGAGCAGTTGGCAAACACCTACAAGAGCCAAAATGGGCAAAAAGATCTCACTTTTCCTTAAAATATGGAGGATCTGTAGTCTGGTCACAGATTGCTACCCCTGATCAGAGGAGAACAATAAAGGACAACCATTGTTGTGGATGTAAATCTCTCTTCCTTTGGCTGATTTAATGTGCCTAGAACTTCACCATTCTTTTTTTTTTTTTTTGTCGGTTGTGGGGCTTGAACTCTGGGCCTGGGCACTGTCAGTTATCTTTCAGCTCAAGGTGAGCTCTCTCTCCCACTTGAGCCACAGGGCCACTTCTGGTTTTCTGATGGCTAACTGGAAGTAAGAGTCTCACAGACTTTCCTTCCCAGGCTGGCTTTGAACTGTGATCCTTAGATCTCAGCCTCTTGTAGCTTGGATTACAGGCATAAACCACCAGCACCCAGCTTCCCATTCTTTTTTTTCTTTTTTCCCCTCTTATGAGCCAGATATTGAGTGATAAGACATTAAGAAAACACTCCATATCAAGGGGAAACCAGAAAATCACAGTATATGTTTAGGGGAAGGTACAGGTTCAAAAAAAAAAACTGAGACAAACTTCTGTTAACTGTTCAAACTGACAGCAACTCTTCTGCAGTTACCATATTATTACATTCAAGTGTCAAGTTTTCAAAAAAAATCACAAATCCTACAAAGATACAGAGAAGTAAGGACCATGAACAGGAAAAATAAAATTATCTCAAAAATAAAATTATAAAGGGCTATGGATACAGCTCAGCCTCAATCCTCAGGAAAAGGGAAAGGGAAAAAAGTGAACGGCTAAATGACTCAACATTAATAAGGAATGAATTCTATATATACTACAACATGAATGAAGAATGTTAGTGAAATGAACTATCAGGCACAAACAATCCCAATATATAATATATATGAGCTTCTTAATATAGTCAAAATCATAGTGACAGAAAGTAGAATGGTGGTTGCCAGTAGGTAGGGAAGCAGAAAATGGAGAATTATTCTTTAATGAGTAGAGAGTCCCCAAGTTTTGTCTTGCCAGGCTGGCTTCAAACTACCCTCCGTCTGATCTCTGTCTCCAAGTAGCTAGGATAACAGGTGTGAGTCACCAGCTTTTTTATTTGCAGTGCTGGAGATCAAGCCTAGGCCTCATGTATACTAGGTAAGTGCTTAAACCAATGAACAACACCCACCCTCATCATTTATATCTATAAGAAAAAAATAATTTTCAATCAACTCAAACATTTGAGTGAAGAAAATATAAATTCAGGACTAGAGATAAAAATAAGTATCCACAGTAAGAATGCGGCTCAAGTGGTAGCATACTAGTCTAGCATGCATGAGGTCCTAGGTTCAATCCCCAGTACTATGAAGTAAGTAATATTTATACAAAAATTAAATCATTAATAAAAACCTGTTTCTTTTTTAAATTTGATCAAGCCATTCTCCTGTTGACCTCTTATGAAATGATGCATCCCCTTCAGAATAAAAGCTAACTTCTTTTTCATGGCATAAGAAACTATTCAAATCTGACTCTAGCATATCTTCATCTCTGCACACTCTGCATTTCACATTCCATGTCCCAGACAAGTTCCTTAAAAGAACTAGTATGCTCATGTTCTCATATTACAGCAAATGTAGTCCTTTCAGCTTCAAATTTCCTTCCCAATTATTTGGCCTATCTCTTTCTCATCCTTCAAAACTAAACTTCTCCTCTGAGAAGTCTTCTGATTTCCACTTGTGATTTAGCTACCTGCCATCCCCTCCCCCAGGTCTTCCAGTATAAGTTTAAATATTATAATTATGAACTGACTATGGAGCACTCCAAGAACAAGAGTATTTGTAACTCATCATTTGTATCTATAGCATAGTGTATGAACACTATAGAAGTTCAATAAATGTTTCCTGAATTAATCAATGAAAACAACTACAGAATCTGATTGTCAATTCTTCATAAATTTGGATTAAATAGCTCCATTGGTTAATTTCTGAGAGGCAGAGAACCAAGATCACAATTTACATCCCCATAGACAGGTTAAGGTTCTTGACTTTGAGCATAAATTAAATCTGTTAATGCAACCATTTTGTACATATTAGCCTTTAAAACAACCCAAGAAGCTCTTTTCTAGCTTTCCTACCTCTTTCCCAGCCAAGTAGAGGGCCAACGTGGCTCGGTGCCAGCCAGAACAATGAATAAACCTACCCCTTACCTGAATACCAAGTGAGTTGTGTTGTTCTTACTCGGCTACCTCTTTTTTTTTGGGGGGGGGTCCAGTCGTGGGGCCTGAACTCTGGGCTTGGGTTCTGTCCCTCAGCTCTTCAGCTCAAGGCTAGTGCTCTACCACTTGAGCCACAGCACCACTTCCAGCTTTTTTCTTTTTGCTTATGTGGTGCTGAGAAATCAAACCCAGGGCCTCATGCATGCAAGGCAAGCACTCTACCACTGAGCCACCTTCCCAGCCCCTTGGCTACCTCTTTTTAAAAACCTAACACAAATGGTGTCGTTTGAATCCGGGAAGGGCTTAAAGTCAGGATAGGTGGGATTCCTTTCCATTCCCCTCCCCCCTTTTTTGTTCTGAGGAATACCCACAGTTCTGACAGCCTTTTGCGAACCTGTCTGTCTGCTGCGGACACAGCGCATCGATACCATTGCTGGCCTTCACATACACGTCCACACCACTTCTCTACTCTGGTGAGTGAAACTACTCTCTACAGCTCTTCGTTGCTCAGTCTCTATCCAGATGTGACACCACGCCAGAGAGCTACTACTGCCTTTAGCTGAAAGATCGGTCCCTCTGAAGCCCAGGAAGCTTGGTTTTGGGGGCTTGGCCATTTCTCTCTAGAGTGCTCTGGGGGAAGCTGGGATGCCGCTTC